AGCAAATTTCTCACTGTCTCTGAAATAGTGAAGATTACTTTTTATATAATGAAAACAATGTCAGAACATTAAAATTTTGAAGAGTACTATCCATAATCTTAGTTGGATCCTAGTAAAAAATTACCTTATTTTTGCATATTTGTTTCCATGGAGGTTAAGAGCATAGGCTCTGGAGTTAGAGACACATGAATTCAAAGTAAAATTCCAAATGCATTTTGATTTCTGGCCAAGGTGGAGGTGTAGGTAGATACACTTTGCCTCCTCACACAACCAAAAGAAGGACAACAACAAGTTTAAAAACAAAAAATAACCAGAACTGCCTGAAAATTGAACTATATGGAAGTCCGACAACCAAGGAGTTAAGGAAGAAATATCCATCCAGACTGGTAGGAGGGGTGGAGCCAGGCAGTGGAACAAAAAGGACTCCTGCCAGGCAGTGTCTGGAGAACCTGGGTGGGCGAGGCGGTGGCTGGCAGACTGGGCAGTCCCGCATTAGTGTGAGATAGACCTGGAGGAACAACTGGGGAGTGGGACAAATCACAGAATCCAGGGTTCCAGTGCAGCAAAATAAAGCCTCAAAACCTCTGACTATAAAAACCTGTGGGGGTTGAATTGGTGGGAGAAACTCCCAGCCTCACAGGAGAGTTTGTTGGAGAGACCCATAGGGTCCTAGAATGTATACAAAACCTATCCACCCAGGAATCAGCACCAGAAGGGACCAATTTGCTTGTGGGTAGCAGGGGAAGTGTCTGAAAATGGAGTGAGAACCAAGCAAGACACATTTTTTTCCTCTGTGACCCCTCCCCCACATACAGCAGAACAATGTGGAGAAGTGGGTTGCCCTGCCCTGGCGAATACCTAAGGCTCCACCTTTTACAATATAACGGGTGCACCCAGACAAAGAAATATGGCCCAAATGAAAGAACAGATAAAAGCTCCAGAAAAAGAAATGTGATGAGATAGCCATCTATCAGGTGCAGATTTCAAAACTAGTAATCTGGGTGCTCACAGAAATGATTGGGTATGGACACAAAATAAAGGAAGAAGTAAAGTCTATACAAAGTGAAATAAAGAAAAATATGCAGGGAACCAACAATGAAGAGAAGGAAACTGGGTTTCAAATCAATGATTTGGAGCAGAAGGAAGATATAAACATTCAACCAGAACAGAATGAAGAAACAAGAATTCAATAAAATGAGAGCCTTAGGAACATCCAAAACAACTTTAAATGTTCCAACATCTGAATCATAGGGGTGCCTGAAGGAGAAGAGAAAGAGCAAGAAATAGAAAATTTATTTGAAAAAATAATGAAAGGAAACTTCCACAGTCTGGAGAAGGACATAGACATACAGTCCAGAAAGTTCAGAGAATCCAAACAAGTTGGACCCAAGGAGAATACATGGAGATACATCATAATTACATTACCCAAGATTAAAGATAAGGAGAGGATCTTAAAAGCAGCAAGAAAAAAGGAGATAGCTACCTACAAAGGAGTTCCCATAAGACTGTCCACTGATTTCTCAAAAGAGACCTTACAGGCAAGAAGGGGCTGGAAAGTATTCCAAGTCATGAAAGGCAAGGACCTATATCCAAGATTCCTCTATCCAGCAAAGCTATCATTTAGAATGGAAGGGCAGATAAAGTGCTTCCCAGATAAGGTCAAGTTAAAGGAGTTCATTATCACCAAGCCTCCTTATTATATGAAATGTTAAAGGGACTTATCTAAGAAAAATAAGATGATCAAAACCATGAATAGTAAAATGACAACAAACTCACAACTGCCAACAACTGAACCTAAAAACAAACAAACAAATAAACAAACTAAGCAAACAACTGGAACAGGAACAGAATCCCAAAATTGAGATCACATGGATCAGGCAGGGGAAGGGGTGAATGGGGGAAAAGGTACAGGGAATAAGAAGCATAAATGGTAGATACAAAACAGACAGGGGAAGGTTAAGAATAGTATAGGAAATGGGGAAGCCGAAGAACTTATGTGTATGACTCATGGACGTGAACTAAAGGGAGTGGGACATGCTGGGAGGAGGGGGATACGGGGTGGAGGGGAATAAAGAGGAGAAAAAATGGGACAACTGTAATAGTATAATCAATAAAATATACTTAAAGAATTAAAAATAGTTAGGTTGTAGGATACGAGGATTTTAAGTTATAGCTATCTACTCTCCAAAGTGGTTATACCAATTTGGAATCCCACCTGTAGTCTATGAGTTCACAGTTCACCTCAAATTCATCTTCGCTTGGGATTATCAGGCTTTTTATTTTGTCTATAAGAGTGCAGTGAAATGATATTTTATTATTTAACTCTTGTTCCTTAATTCCCAAGGAAATGGACAACCTTTTTGTATATGTATTGGCCATTTGGGTTTCCTCTTCTGTAAATTGTCCATATATTTTATCCAATTTTTATTGGGTAATTTTTTAATACCGACTGCTCACCTTTGTTACAGATTATAGGCTTGAAAATATCTTCTCCCAGTCTGTACTTTGACTTTTTACATTCTTTATGGTGTTTTTAGTCATACAGAAGTTTGGTTGCTTTATGTAGTTGATCTCCATGATCATTTATGCTTTCTTGTGTTTAAGAAATTATTCTCTACTCTCATAAAGATAGTTTTCTATTTTTATTTTGTACAATGGTTGCATTTTACATTTAGGATTTTAATCAACCAGGATTAAAGCTGTGTTGGAGCTATTGTCATGTTTATTGATTTGCCATAGGGACCGGCAGTTGTCCAGCGTCACTTCTTGAAGAGTCCGTCCTGCCCCACTGAGTGGGCATGGGATGACTTCTGGGCCTTGTGTTCTCTTCCATTTTTCTACTTGTCTCACCCCTCATAGTTATTGCGTTGTTACCTTAACTACGTTAGTCTTATTATAAGCCTTAATCTCTTTAAGGACAGGTCTTGGCTTTACATGGGTCTTTACAATTATATATAAAGGTTTGGGTCAGTCCATTTTTTAAAAAATCCTGTGAGGATCGTAAATGCACTGGTATCACAGGTATTTAAAAAATGGATTGTTGAAATAATTCTTCCAGAATAGCTCTTTCATAAATGGCATTTATTTCAAGGAGCAACACAGTTGACAGAAGAAGGAAGGGGTTTCTCCACACCCTCGGTGGGCACCTCCTGACTCTCCTGTTTCTGGCAATGCCATCACTGCTGCCCAGGTCCCCAGAGCCATCGCGAGAGGCTCTTTTTCCTTCACTCACCCTGCCTAGGTACTTATTTACCAGATGGCCTGTTCTTTCTTTGGATTTCCTGTGTTTTCCAATCTTCCCTTTCTTTCCCTGATATTGCTGTGAGTCAGACTCTTGTCCTTCATGCTGGGCTGGGGCAATAACTCCCAGTTTATATCCCTGCTTCTCAAGGTTCTTCTTCCTTGAAGTTCAGTCTGATTATTGATTAATGGTCTGGAGGCACTATCCAGCCCCTCCCAATCTCAGAGCCCTCACCAGGCTCCTCCAGGCTGCAGGATAAAGTACAACTCTTCTGCCTGACACTCATTGAGCCCCACCTTACCTGCCCAGCCTCTCAATTGGCCCCTACTTCCCCACCAGCAACCTTGAATCCTGGCAGATATGGCTCCTCCGTGTCTGGGGAATGTGTCTGCTCATTCTGTCTCATCCCCAGCCCAGCAGTGCTCACCACCTGCTCGCTGCTGTCCAGCTGCTACCCCCTTCAATAGTTCCACCTGGGAGCAGGCAGCTCACTAGGCTACCAGGCCCAGAATGGTCTCCCTATTTTGAATGCCCTTGATGCTTCTATTTTGCGTTTTGTAGCCAAGCTGTGTGAGGTCCATTTTCGCTGTATAAAGCAAGGTTTCTCTGTCTCAGCACCACTGACACTTAGGCCAAGAGGATTCCTTGTAGGAGGTTTTCCTTTGTTTCCAGGACGGCATCCCTGGCCTCTACCCACTAGGTGCCAAGTAGCACCCTCTAGTTGTGACAACTGAAACTGTCTCCAGACATTTGCAAAAGTCCCCTAGGGGCCAAAACTGACTCTGGCTGACAACCACGGGTGTAAGGGGAGACTTCTATCCCCAGCTGCACTCTGTGAACAAGAGGTTCCTGGAGCTAGACGCCACAGCTGCCTCCTGACAGCTAAGGGGTTTCTCTGGACACTAGCTGGCAGGCGGCATTCACTGTGGTTCCGAGCATCTGAAACAAGGCTGAACACTGTTCAAGGACACGCTCATATGTGCCTCCTAATGCAGGCTGACCACATCCTGTTGTTCAGAAAAAGTCTACTCCTTGCAGGAAGGAGTTTGGGGAAAGCATTTAGGTGCCATAAAGACACAGGCTCCTATTCGTCAATGTCTCAGAGGTAATCACGCAGTAGGAAAATGAAAGAAAATACGGGTGAGCAATATTTGCTATGAAGATGCTGGGGTCATTTGAATGTCATGTTTTATGTGTCCAGAAAATAAACCGAGTCCCATCTTCAGCCTTTCACTTTCAAAGTAATTCAGTAATAGGAATCTAGTTAGCCGGCACTGTGAGAATACATCTACTTGTTCACCTAAGTTTTAAGAACATTATTCATAATAACCACCCCTCTTGAATGATTTAGGCCCACGAAGGCTGTTGTGTGGGCCTCAAGGGGACCCTGTGGGGCTTGGGTCATTTGAGCACCATCCTGAGTCCTCAGATGGTCCTAGGGTCTGAAAAATGCTCTAGGACAGGGTGCCCAGTTTGAAGGGACTCTGAGGCTAGAATGGGTGGAAGGTCCAACATGCACGTCCATCTCCTGGGCTAGGTTGTCATGTCTCTCTTTTGGCCTATGGGCTTCTTGAGGAATTGATCTTCTCCTCCAAGACCTTAACCATGATAGACAAACCCTGGGCCAGCCATCCTCCCAGGATCTCCAGGCTGGCCAGCAGAGGACCACCTCTCCTCTGCTCCTTTCAGCTGTCCTGACTTACCACAGGGATGCTTGTCTCCTCCTTTTAGTTCCCTCCAGGAAGGGTTCCCTACTCACCTCTCAGAAGTTGGGCTGCAGTGGGAGGGAGAGAGAAGCAGGCAGAGGGGATGTTGTAATTGGTTTTCAGTACTTCCACAAGGTCTGCCGTGTACCTGGAGAGACACAGCCTGCGTTCAGATAGCCTTGTGGACAGGAGAGAGCACTGGAAGGGACATCAGTTACTGGACGCCCCCTCAAACACATCTGGGCTCAGGGAGCTTGTCCATTTCTCCTCAAGTTCCTGGTTCTTGGAAGGAATTGGACAGTGGGTCCCATCTAGTGTGTAAAGCAGCCTGCCACCGAGGCTGTGGACAGGCCCGGCTGCAGTACCCACAGACCCTGCAGTCCTTTCGCTTCACTCCCTTGGGGCGGCAGCCAGGGAGAAAGAACAGAATTGCAGGGAAAGAGTGGATCCTTAGCACTAGGGGTGGGTCCCCAGCTGGTGGGAGTTCTGTGCATGTACCCTCTTCCCCCAGCTCCCAGCTCTGGGATCTTTCTCTCCTAGAATGGGGAGAGAAAGCCAAGATGCTGAAGAGTCATGCACTGGCTAAACCCCAAGTGTCCCTGAGGACCTTAGGGACAGCCAGGCCATTATCAGTCCTGTCTCATTCTGAGTGCTGGAAACCAAAGGGTACTGGGAGGGAGGGAGCGACAGGCCAGAGCGATAGAGGCCACCTGCTGCATAGCAACCAGCTCCTGGCTCAGGGCCTGCAGCCCTCACTCACCTGGGGTCAAGCTTTATCTGAGTCTTGTCTGGCTCCATTACTTCTCTCACTCTCTGGTTCTCGACTCTCAATTTCCCTTCTTGGCAGGCACTGAAGAGCAAGGAGGGGCAGGCAGGTGCGGGCCCAGAGGTAGGTGGCTCCCGGCCCTGTTGACTGCCAGCCTTTTCCCAAAGTACTCAGGTAGACGATAGGTAGGGTGTCTGGCTCGTCTGCGCTGGCTCTCTCCCTCCTCAGGCCTCCTAGCCCACAATTTCTATCTCAGAGTTCATCCCAGAGTAATTTGAAATTTGATCCTCTCAGCTGGCTGAGTTCCCAGGTTCCTGACTCCACCTCTACCCCTACCCCCACTCCTAGGTGTGGTCCTTCTGGCCTCCCTCCCATAAGTACCTTTAGACATGCTTTGCCCCTGGCCCACCCTTACCCTTTATCTTCCCCCACCCTCGCCCCCCAGAAGGCTTCTAGGGTGGTGTGGGGACAAAGTTCTCAATCTTCCCCTCAGTGCCCCCTGGCCAACAACTACTTCTCCCCAAGAACTTGGCGGGAACTCAGGCTCTGGGGCCCTGGGATGGGAGAATCAGGGCTGAGGTCTTGACTGTGTTGGTGCTGGTGGCTCGGCATGTGGAAGGAAGGGCTAGCTGGAAAAGCCAGACAAGACCCCTGTGAGTTTTCCAAAGCCTAGCCCGCCACTTCTTGATGGTGGGTTTACCAGCCAAATAGCAGCCACAGACACAGCAAATGGGAGAGGGAGGCCATATGTGAAAGGCAGAGTCGTGGATGAGATTTCTGAGCATACTGAGTTGTTTTTTTTAAACTGTGCCAAATTGCTTATGGACTATTTTGTTGATTGGTCATTTTTCTTCTCTCTCCAAATAAACCTATCTGAGGCCAAGCTCAGCACCCCTAGATTCCTGGTACAGGGCCGGACACACACTAAGTGCTCCTTAGAATTGGTTGCCTGGCTGATAAAATAACAAAATCGCAGCAGCAGCAGCTAAGGTCTATTGAGCACTTAAGGTGGCGGAAATGCAATGTTACTTATCTCATTTATGCCTTACAATCTCTCTGTAAAGGTAAGTGCTATCTTTATTTCCGTTTCACAAATAAGGAAACTGAGGGTCAGAGGGGTTATGACACCAGGTGGGGTAGAGAGCCATGGCAGTATGGAGAGGCAGAAAGGACTTGGGTTGGGGCTCTGTGGAGGTTCAGGTGAAGATCTTTGATAGTAAGAGACGGCCAGTGAGAGGGTCGAAAGAGTCAGTGCCAGAGGGCAGAGGAGGCTCTCTGACGGGGCTGGTGAGTAGATGCAGCCGGAGGAAGCAGTTATTGATGTGGTTCCGGAAAACTGCCTGCTCCTGTCTCCAAACACCTCCAAATAACTTTTGAGGACAGGCAGACTCCTCTGCCTCCTTTACTTTCCACAGTTCTCAAGGCAGGACAGTGTAGTGATCCAGGAACCTCAAGGGCCCAATTACCTCCTAAGGTCGGGGTTTGGACACCATGGGAAGAGGGGGCACTGACCTCCAGAGGGTCCACTGCCTGGGGCCTGCCCTGACAAAGACACTAGCTGACTCAGCTTCCGGAAGCCGTCTCCACAGGAGTGCTCCCTGGGTCATTCACCTCTAGTGCAGTGAGGCCTTGGGCTGAATTGCCCAAAGCCCTGAACTTTAGATTTCCTTAAAGCAGATAACAGGTGCTGAGGATGTTCTCTGAAACTTCTTCAGGACGGAACTGGGGGAGACAGGAGAAGGGTGTGGAAGAGCAGGAGGGAGTCCAGAAGAACTGGCGGCTGGGCTGACATTCAGTCTTCTAGAGTCTGGCAGCTGGGAGGTCCGGAGGGGACAGGATAATTCTCAGGTTGGGTGATGATGGAGGAGTGGGAGGGCGCTGGTGAGAGGAAAGGCTTCAACTCTGATGGGGTGCTGTGGCCCTACCCGAAGTCCTAAGTGGCTATCTTCTATATGGTGACCCATGCATTAGTCCAGAGCAATGCTCTTGACCAAAGGCCAGCTCATCTGTAGCTAAGGCATGGCAAGAGAGGACGAGGTCCCAGCCAATCTGACTGGTCATTTTGGACTGCTAGCTGTCAAGCACTGATTTTTAGAAGCAAGAACAAATCATTCTTCATTTTTTTTGGCTTCATCCCCCCCCCCCCCCAAATTATACAATGACATGATAGGACACCTGTCATTTCAGTTTTGCTTTCTCAGTGTGAGAGACATTTTTGAAAAATCAAAGTATTTAAAAAATGCCATGAATTTCATCAGTTTTCTCCAGGGTTCCTCAATCATTTGATATTTAGGGGCTATTTTCTCTTTTTAAAAAATTCCTTATTGAGATAAAATTTACATAACATAAAGCTCACCCTTTTAGTCATTTTTAAGTATATCATTCAGTGGTTTGTAGTATATTTATAATGTTGTGCAACTATCACTGTGAATCTAATTGCAGAATATTTCCATCATCACCAAAAGAAACTTTATGTTTTCCGGTTCTTCCTTCCTCCCATTCCTTGGGTCATTAATCTACTTAATTTGTCTCTATGGATTTGCTTATTCCAGATATTTCATCTAAAATCATATTAATATGTGACCTTTCATGTCTGATTTCTTTCATGTAGCATAATTTTTAAGGGTTTATCCATGTCATAGCATGTACTAGCACTTCATTCCTTTGATCAGTTAATGGATGTTTGGATTGTTTACATTTTTTTGGCTATTATAAATAATGTTGCTACTTTGCTGAACTCATTTATTAGCTCTAATTGTGTGTGTGTGTGTGTGTGTGTTTAAGTGTGTGATCTTATTTATTTATTTTTAGAGAAAGGGGAAGGGAGAAAGAGAGAGAGAGAAACATTGATCGGTTGCCTCCTGCATGCTCCTTGACCAGGGACTGAACCCACTGCCCAGGCATGTGCCCTGACTGGGAATCAAACCGGCAGCCCTTTGCTTTGTGGTACGATGCTCAGCCAACTGAGCCACACTGGTCAGGGCTGTGTGTGAATTCTTTAAGGTTTTCTATATAAAAGGTCATGTCATCTGCAAATAGAGAGGGTGTCCCTTTCTCCTTTCTAATGCAGATGCTTCTATTTCTTTTTCTTGCCTAATTGTTCTGACTAGAACTTCAGCACATTAAATAGAAGTGACAAAAGCAAGCATACTAGTCTTGTTCCTGATCCTGCAGGAAAAGCTTTCAATCCTGTATCATTAAGTATGAGGTTAGCTGTGGGGTTTGTATAAATGCCCTTTATCAGGTTGAGGAAGTTCTCCTTTAGTCCTAGTCTGTGAAGTGTTTTAATCATGTAAAGGTGTTAGATTTTGGCAGATGCCTTTTCTGCATCTGAGATAATCATGTTGTATTCTTTTTCTTTATTTTACTAATGTGATGCAGTACATTGATTGATTTTTGTACATCGAACCACACTTGCATTCCTGGGATAAATCTCACTTGGTCATGGTGTATAGTCCTTTTACTATGCTGCTGGGTTCAGCCTGCCAGTGTTTTGTTGAGGGTTTTTGCAGCTATATTCATAAAGGACATTGGTCTGTAGTTTTTTTCTTGTGATACTTTGTCTGGCATTGGTATCAGGGTACTATTTACCTCATAGAGTGAGTTGGGAAGAACTCTTTCCTCTTCTATTTCTTTTAAGAGTTTGACAAGAGTTGATATTCATTCCTTAATGTTCAACAGAATTAACCTATGCAGCCACAGCCCATTTTTGTTTTTAAAAGAGACTACAAAGTTGTCGACCTTGCTGATTTTCCCTTCTTCAGTTTTTAGCTTTAGACTTTTGGGGTGATTTAAATGGCATTCTAATATTGCTTCTATTAACATCATAACATTCTGCTTCTTTTGCAAAATTCTAAATTTCACTTTGCTTTTGGGATTGTTTTACATTGCAGTTGAGATGGGGAAAAAGATGCTATTTTACATAGAAAGTGATCTTTGAGCAAGGGCTTATTTCTTATTTATTAGTGGATATTTTTGTGTTATAATTTTTTTTTACTATGTAACATCATAATTTAGGGATTGAGGTGATGGCAACTAAAAACGCAAGAAGTCCCCTGAATTCTAAAACTACAAAAATTGAAATTCATGATGCTAAATTTAATAAGTATAATTATTAGAGAATAATTTGGGGGTCAGCACCTGTGGGAGGGAAGGTAACAGTGTTACAGGGTGCAGCCAAGAGGGGGGACCCCAAATGGGCATTTGAAATGGGGTCCAGAACTTAAGGTGTCCAGGAGATTTTAAGATGTCTCCAAACCCCTCCCCCCACACCCAGGGTGTGGGTTGGGGGAAGGGACAAATGGAGCAGGACCATTGAGAGCTGTTTTGCAGCTAAGCTCTGGCGTGGTCATTTAACATATCTATAGCCTTTGGCTGGTCGCTTAGATATGTTAAATAGCTGTGATCATCTCTGGGGGGGGGGAATGGAAGTAACTTCCCCACCAACACGTGACTGGGGGCAGATCCCCCCCAGGCTACAGCGCCTGCGTGGGAGCTCGGAGAAGATTGGCTCCAGGACATGGGGCCACACCTGCCCAGACTCATGATGGCAGCCCAGTAAAGCTGGAAGGGTATGAGTTCTGGCATGTGAAGCCGAGTGTGGGAGGAGTCGGAAATGAGGCTGCAGAGGAAGATTGGCTGAGGGGATTTTAAACCCAGACTTGGTGGCCATTAGAGGGGAGAACCACGTGGCTTTGGGAGAGTGGGGGCTCTCCCCTTCCCGCAGTCATAGGAGAGAGAACTATGCGTCTTTGACGGAGGAGAGAACTATGCGCATCCCAGAGAGAGAGAGCCATGCACATCCCTGAGAGGGAGAACCATGTGGCTTTAGAAAGAGTGAGGACTCTCCCTTCCCGCAGCCATAGGAGAGAGAACCACGCGGCTTTGATGGAGTGGAGACTCTTGCATCCCAGAGAGAACCGTGCTGCTTTAGGAGAGAGAACCACGCGGCTTTGGCAGAGTGGAGACTCCCGCATCCCAGAGAGAGAGAACCACGAGGCCTGGACGGAGTGGGGACCCCCGCAGCTTCAGAAGGGGGAACCACCACCTGGTTTTAGCAAAGATCCTGGCGACTCAGCCGAGGGTGCCGGGAACCCAGGGAGGTCTCCCAGTCAAGAAGGAGGACTAACTAAGAACCAGAGGACTGTCTGAGCCATGGACTTTGTTTTCCTTCCCTGAAATACGGTACTCTGGACTGGGCAAAGGGGGGAAGGAAGGAAGGACTGTGTCTGTTTGTGGGTGTTTTGGGGGGACTTTGGGGTTTTTGATAAAGACATTAGGTCACTACTTGAAGTTTGTATAGCATTAAATAAACATTTCCTTTCCTTTTCACGAATCTCTGGCATTGAGAGATGTCTTTCCTCAGGCGGCGGACGGACCTGGGGGCCTTTTAAATAATAGTATATCGTCCCAGGCACCCCTTGTTCTGTTCTGTAACAACAGGATTGAGCGAAAGAAGATTTGTATTTAGGGCCCAACAAAAGCCTCGGCTAACTGGAAGGTCACATGGAGGCTGGGATAGCCCTTCAGAATTGTTCTGCTTTGGGGCAAAGTGGACATTTATACTCTCATGTTGGCCACTCCTTGGATACAAGACACCCCTGGAAGGAGGTGGCACTTTGGGTTAGCAGTTTTCTTTTGGGGGTGGCTATCCGTCAAACAGACTCTTCCAGCAGCTGGTGGGACAAGTTCTTTACTTCTGGAGAGCAGTCTGAGGAGCACCTCACAGTGCCACCTACAGACAGATCTTAATGTGCACGGAGAACTTAGTCTCTGTTGTAAATGAAAAGCATGTATGTGAATATACCAACCTGGTATGTGTATTTATGAGGATAATATTTTAATTTGAAGGTTGAAAATATGATATTTCATTTCCAGAAAAGTCATGGAAAACACCTTGAAACAACTAAATTTGCCCCAGTAGGAGAAGTAGTAATGCCATAAACAGAAGTTAATCATGTTGTAACAGGGGAGATCTGGCCAGATTCCTGGGCAGAGGGGAGGGACCCCCATGAGAAGGACTGGGAAGTGCTGAAGGTGGCAGGACTGAAATCGAAACTAAAGCCGTATGACACACTTCCATTCCCCACACCCCCAAGGGTAAACAACTAATGCCGCTGGTGGTACAGCTTGCACAGAGCATGCACTGGTACAGCTTGCACAGACCATGACATACGTAAGTCATGGATGAGAACATGGTGACTCCTCACCCCGGGCAGAGATGCTGTGCCCCTGAGCGTGGCTAGAAACCCTCCTACCTGCTTCCCGGATCGTGATGGCAGGAGGAAGGGCAGAGGTGTTGTGTGGGCTGATGCATGTGATACACGTTAGATTGGCTGACAAGCTGGACACTCTCACAGCACACAAGCTTTGGGGGTGAAAAATCTAGACATAGGGCACTTGGAAACTCAGCCCCTTTTCTGTATTCCACTCACTTGCCAGGGGTAGGGGTGCAGAGCGTTTGCAGGAGTCAGTGGACTCCGGGCCACTTGTGGTTCTTGCCTTATCCCTCTTGTCAGGCCAGAGTAGGTTTTTGTGGGACATGAGCCTTGCCTGTAGCAGCCTGTGGGCTGCTGCAGCTCCACACTGCACAGCCCGGGTCCTGGACTGCCCTCCACTCCCTCACCGTGACAGCAGCATACAGATGTGTGGGCTGGGAATGTTCACTAGCCAGGGGTGCAGGAACAGCTTTGGATGCCCACTGCCGTGATTTGGCAGCGTGTCTGGCCCTGGGAAAGGGTGGGAGCTGCGGCAAGACAATGGTGATGCTAGTCCCACAAATGCGCACTCCAGGCGGACGGAGCTGGAGAGACAGAGATAGTTCATGTAACAGCATTGGGCACCAAGAAGACAGATAAGCATGGAGCAGGGTGTCTGGACACTGATTCTGGTCCTGGCGGTGGCTGGCTTCTTTCTGTGTTTTGCAGTAGAGAATGGCTTGGAGCCCAGGATTCTCCACTCCCCCAAACTGGGGAACCTTTCATAAAGACCTTTTTTCTTCCCCACCAATTATTGTGTTATGTTTGAGTACAGCAGCAGGTGGCCGAATCCTACTTTGGTAACAATGTCAGTAATTAAGAAATGCAATTTGGATGGTTTCTCTGCCAAAATCAGAGAAATACTTTTTTTTTTACAACACTTATATCTGTAAATGTTGGGGTACTTGGTGGTGGTCTAAGTATGTGTGCTTATAACACCTGTAATGCCAAGGCAGTGAACGAGAGCCATGGCCTAGATTTGAAATCAATTTTGATGTGTAAATTATTATTAATCTCTTTGATTTTATGATTTTTAGAACCTACCCTTGCAAAAATAAAATACCCTATGGCTATATAAACAGGATTATAACTTAGTACCATAAATGGATCTAGAAATATACTATATTCTGACCTGACCAGTGTGGCTCAGTTGGTTAAGCATCATTCCGCAAAGTGAAAGGTCTTTGGTTTGATTCCCAGTCAGGACACATGCCCAAGTTGTGGGCCTGGTCCTTGTCAGGGCAAGTGTGAGAGACAACTGGTCCACGATGTTTCTCTCAGACATTGATGTTTTTCTCCCTCTCTTTCTCCCTGCCTTCCTTTGTCTCTGAGAACATGTAGATAAAATCTTTTTAAAAAGTATATTGTGTCCTGAAATAAATAGAAAGATTGCTTATCAGTAAAACAAAAATAGAAGGAAAGAAAAAATATGTCCCTGTAGATAAGAAAATATAAGTAACAATAATTTTGTGTTAATGAGGGAATTTTGCTTTTTGTTTTAAATCTAATTTCCTCAAAGTGTTCCTGTTCATTTAGTCCAATTCAAAGTAGGAATCTTGAAATTACAAATTTTATCCATGTTTAGGAATTATATAATATATAATATATAATAATATAATATAATATAATATAATGACATTCAAAATGGTCATCACACTGCAACATGCAGAAGCCCTGATAACATGTGGAGTTGCTGCATCACAGCAGACTCTGTGAGAAAACTTCTGACGCTAGTGCCGGCGCCTGGGTCATAGGCCTATGTGCCAACTGCGAGTGTCTGGCATTTTCAGCTCCAACCCGGTCAGGGAAACAGCCTTTGCCCGTCATCAGGACTTAACAGGGTGGGGAATCCTCCAAACACATAGGGGTTCAGATGCTCAATGGTTAAAACGAATGACAAATGTCTACAGCAAGTACCAGGAAACGCTGTTATTTTCTCACATAATAACCAGCTTGAAGGTAGGCAGTTCAAGTCTGGGGCAGTGATTCAACAATGTCATCAGTGTCACTCTGTCTATGTAGCATGTTGGCTTATTGCCTAATGGGTCCCAGGTGGCACCCCTAGCCAGCATGTCTAGGTTCAACACAGGAAGTGAAGGGCAGAGCTGTGCTGACCATGTCTTTCCCCCCATTTATCAGGAAGGGGAAAGAAAGCTTTTCTAGCAACCCTCAACAGACATTCACCTATTCTCATTGACCAGAATTGTGCCATGAAGCCAGCCATGGAAATGAGGGAACCTAGAAAATTATTTAGCTGCCCCTCCCCAACGGGGCCTTTTGTAATAACAAAATGGAAATAGAGTGAGCAACAGGCACAGCTTCAATTAGCACTGACTCTGAAAGGGTGATTGGAATCATTCACCTTCTCCCCATGTGTTTCTTTAATCTCATGTAATCTTGAAGCTAACTTCCTTGCCGGGCCAGGACCTCTCTGTCTCCAGCACAAGTGAAAGCGGGGTGGGTTTGATGATGGAAGTTACAGTCACAGGCTACAGACAATTCTGCTGAAGAGCCCCTGGCTCCCATTCTCCTCAGCCTCTGTGATGTCACACTGGGACTTTCCTTCCACCCTAAGCTGTGGCTTCCGGCCTGGCTGCTATGGCCATGGGGTGCCTGGAGCAGGCAGGGGAGAGAGAGCCTGGTGGCTCTGATCTCCCCTGGGGGCACAGGAGGCCCAGCCATGCCGCTCTTGAGGGAGCCCCATCCCCCACCTCGGGCCCCACCTCCCTGGATCCTCCCCAGCCTGTTTGCTGCCTTCAATGTTGTGCTGCTGCTGGTTTTCAGCGCCCTCTTCTTTGCATTCCCGTGAGTCTACTGCACAAGCTAGCAGGTTCCTTATATAGAGAGAAAGGAAAACAGATATTGATAGTACAAATGCAAGAGAAGTTCAGAAGAGGGGGGTCAGAGAAGGGAATCTTCTAGGCAGAGAATTCTAGGCAGAGGGAATTGAATGTGCAAAGGCACAGATGTATGGAGTACTTGGTGCATTTGGGAATTGTAGGTGGCTGGTAATACTGGGGGACATTTGGTGGAGCCTCTGTGGATTTATCACTAGCCTGAGTATTTGGAGCAGGCTTGAAGGTCTGTGGGTTCTGAGAGGTGAACTGGGTCCTGTTGGGAGCTTCAGGCCATCCCAGATCAGGGCTGAGTCCTGCTCTGGTCTCAGTTGCAGGTGGCTGGCCCAGAATGGAGAGTGGGTCTTTCCTATTGTCACGGGTCCCTTCTTTGTCTTCGCCTTCTTCAGTCTTGTTTCACTCAACTTCTCAGACCCTGGCATCTTGCATCAAGGTGAGACCTGGGCCCCCAGGAGAAGGAGGTAGCAGCCTAAGGGTTCCTGCCTATAGGGATGATTACTAAAGTGCCCCTCCCATTTCTCCTGCTGTGGCCTCTGGACCTGCTCAGTCCAAGTCCTCATTTGCTCAGGCCTTGCTTCTGGCCCTTCCTTTCCCAGGGCTCGACATGTGGAGAAACAGAATTCTGGAGGTTTTCCAATAACCTCCAGAATTCTGGAGGGGTGGGCTGGGCCGGGCTGGGGAGAGAGGCCAGCTCATCGCACTCAGTTCTCTCTTCCTTCTGCCTGCTGTACCAAATCCTTGAAGCATCAGTCATGATTCCAAAGGCCTGGGTTCTCACAAGAGGCTTCAGGTGGAAACCATGCTTCCCTCTCTCTGAGTTTGGTCAGCTTGCTCAGCATGGACCAGGGAGTCCCCTGCCCACATCACCCCCCATCCTTCTTGGAGCCACATAATACTGCAGGACTTCCCACAACCAGCAAGAGACTGACGGAAGAGGCTCCTGGTGCTGCCCAATCCTCTTCCCGTGCCAGGCTCCAACGAACAGGGTCCCATGACGGTACACGTGGTATGGGTGAACCACAGGGCCTTCCGCCTGCAGTGGTGCCAGAAGTGCTGTTTCCACCGCCCACCCCGGACCTACCACTGCCCCTTGTGCAACATCTGTGTGGAGGTGAGAGCCCCTCTTGCTTGCCCAGTGTGCCCCACCCCCCCAGCCCATTACCTGGTGGGGACCAGGAAGTTCACTCATACAGGGGCCAGTGGTGGCTATGAAACCACTTCAGGGACTGCTAAAGGCCAAGGGTGGCAGTAATACCCAGCCACTCTTGGTCACTCATGCAGTCACTGCCTCTATACCTGTGCCTGCACCTGTACTGGGAGGCTGGCCCTTGCCTGCACAGGTGCTGACATATACAGGGGCATCCACATCTATACTGGCCTGGTCAGGCCAGGAGAAGGAAAGGTACTCCTGTCCTACCCACCCTCCCACACCCCACCACAGGCCCTCGCTCATGCTTGCTGACAGCAGACACCCAGGACCCTCGGACTCACATTGGCTCAAACCCTGACTTGAGTGCTTGTCTTTCTCATTTGCACAGCCCACAGAGGTTTACAAATGTGCTTCCCTGTGTAGTTCTTCCAACCCTAGAAGGCTGCCTGGGCAAGGGTATTATTGTTATCCTCATCCTTAGGGTGAGAAAAGAGATGCCCAGAGACACACTATGTTCTCTGTGTTCCACAGAAGAGCAGTCAGGCTTTGTCTCTAAACACAGGGTGCTTCCTTAGCCAGTACAGACCCAGACCTCGACAGGCCAGCTTGTGAGCCACAGAGCCCTAATGGTGCTCTAACCACTGAAAATGCCAGCGTTAGGGACTTTGTGACTCAGTTAGGGGTAGGGGGAAGGCAGGGCGTGGGGCCAAGGGCAGGTGGCTCAGGGTGAGAAAGTAAGGCCTCAGATTTAGGGGTAACAGAAGATGGGACAGAGGTCGGGTCCTAGAGGCCTGCTTTTTCTTCTTCTTGCCCAGGATTTTGACCATCACTGCAAGTGGGTCAATAACTGCATCGGTCACCGCAACTTCCGCTTGTTTATGCTGCTCGTCCTGTCCCTATGCCTCCACTTGGGCGCCATGCTGGTCACCTGCCTGATCTTCTTGCTGCGCACGACTCAACAGCACCTTTACATAGACAAGGTCGTCGCGTATCCGCCTGGCGGCTGGGCCTAAGTAGGGATAAGCAGGTAGCTCCGCGACAGCGGAGGGCGGGGTCTCGGAGGCAGAGCTAATGGTGCAAGGGGTTTGAGAGAAGCTGCAGCCCTGGCTGGTGTGGCTCAATGGATTGAGAGAGAAACTGCTTGGGAAGAGCAGTTTGGGACAAGGTGAGGGTGGGTGGGGCCAGGGAGGTGAAGGGTGGGCCTAGGAGGAAGCTCAAAGACGTGAGAATCCAGCAAGGTCAGGAATTGAGGGTAGCTAAAGGTAGCACGGGGGCTTGAATTGCAGGGTCCGTGAGGTTTACGCGGGGGTGGAGCGGGGCGGCGCGGGGAGGGAGAGGATAGACAATGTGGTTGTGGACGGGGTCAGGGATGAGGGGCGGGACCAGGGAGGACTTTTTCGGGAGGCACTGCTCCTTAGCTGGTGCGCAGCATCGTGGTCGCTGTAGTCGCGGCGGGCTTCCTGGTGCCGCTCTCCCTGCTGCTGCTGATCCAGGCCTTGTCAGTGAGCGCGGCCGAGCGCTCCTACGAGGGCAAGGTACGCGGGGCACAGCGGAGAGCCACTGCCTCGGGCTGTGGGTGGTGGCCTAGCTCCTCGGTCACCTCAGCACTTCACGCTCTTTCTCCACTGCCCTGGTTTTGATGGCCTGATTTCCCTCGAGGGTGCTTCGTTAGCACTTACAGACCCAGACCGAGCTCAAAACTCGCCTCCTCCGGAGCTCGGTGGTAACTCTCCCTCCTGGGTGCACTCCCTTCAGGGCCTACTGTGTACTGGGCTCGTGTGCATTATTTTGAGGGGCGGCGGGCGTGAGGCGAGTAAGGCTACATCTTGCGCTTGTGTTTATAAAGAACCTGAAATCAGAATAACACCTACCAGACACCTGTGAACACTCTGAGGGGCCTGGCCTACATGTGTAGCACAGATTCAGAGAGGGAATTGACAGTTCAGGCACGACTGCGGTGTAGGGTAGGAAGTACCACTTAGTGATTTTGGATGGGCAGAAGACAGGGGAGAGCACTGCCGGTGAGGGGCCAGCTTGCAAAAGGCAGGGCGCTGGAATGAGGAGAGGATGGAGAAGAAATAGTCTTAACTGGAGCAGAAGATGGCATAGAAGTCAAGTGGACTGCTTGGAGTTGGCCAGATTTACAAGGCCCAGGAAATCAGGTGGAGAATTTGATCTTGGTGCATTGGAATCCTGGGAGCCATGACAGGATTTTTTCTTTTTCTTTTTTTTTTTTTAACATACAGTAAAATTCACACTTTAAAGTGCACAGTTACATGAATTTTGACAAACCATACAAGTCCTGTAACCACCACCATAACCAAAATTTAGAACATTTCCGTCACCTCCAAAAATTCCCTCATGGCCTTTTGCAGTTGGTTTTCCTCCCTGCCAACCTGGCAAACACTGATCCGTTTTTTATCCCTATAGTTGTCCTTTTCCCGAGTCTCACGAAGTGGAATCAAAACTTTTCGAGTCTGGCCTTTTTCACTTAGCACAATGCATTTGAGATTCATCTGTGAAGCAGTTTCTTCCTTTTGGTTGCTGTGTAGTATTCACTCACATGGATGTACCACAGGTTATTTATTCATGCAGCATAATGCCAACATGTCTTCCAAATGGCCTTTTCATTTTGCATTCCCAATGAAATGCATAAGAATTACAGTTGTTCTTTACCTTCAGTAACATTTGGCATTGTCAGTTGTTTTTTGTATCTTAATCTTAGCTAGACTAATAAATGTGTAGAAGTATTTCATTGTGGTTATTTATACATTTTTAGAGGGTAAGGGCGGGGAGAAAATGAAGAGAAACATCAATGTATGGTTGCTTCTTGTGCGCCACCTACCGTGCATCTTTAGCATTTCATGTAATAAGGGCTTGGTGATGATGAACTCCTTGAACTTGACCTTATCTGGAAAGCACTTTATCTCCCCTTCCATTCTAAATGATAGCTTTGCTGGACAGAGCAATCTTGGATATAGGTACTTGCTTTTCATGACTCTGAATACTTCTTTTTAGCCCCTTCTTGCCTGTAGGGTTTCTTTTGAGAAATTGGCTGATAGTTTTATGGGAACTCCTTTGTGGGTAACTGTCTCCTTTTCTCTTGCTGCTTTTCTTATCTTTAATCTTGGCTAATGTAATTATGATGTGTCTTGGTGTGTTTTTCTTTGGGTCCAACTTGTTTGGGACTCTCTTAGCTTCCTGGACTTCTATGTCTATTTCCTTTGCCAGATTGGGGAAGTTTTCATTATTTTAGTTTTCAGTGTCTTGCTCTTCCTCTTCCTCTGGCACCTTATGATTTGGTTGTTGGAATGTTCGAAGTTGTCCCAGAGGTTCCTCAGCCTCTCCTCAAGTTTTTGAATTCCTGTTTCTTCATTCTGTTCTGATTGAATGTTTATTTCTTCCTTTTGCTCCAAATCATTGATTTGACTCCCGGTTTCCTTCCCTTCACTGTTGGTTCCCTGTACATTTTTCTTTATTTCACTTTATATAGCCTTTACTTCTTTCTTTATTTGCATCCATATCCAATCTGAACATCCTGATTACCAGTGTTTTGAACTCTGCATCTGATAGATTGACTATCTCCTCATCCGCATCACTTTTTTTCCTAGAGTTCTGATCCGTTCTTTCATTTGGACCATATTTCTTTGTCTCAGAGCATCTTTCAACACTGTAAGGGGTGGGGCTTTAGTATTCACCACATCAGGGTAACCCCACTTCATGCTATTATAATTTTTAAAATTTAATTTTCCATTTGTTTGTTATTACAGTCATTCATCACATAACTGTGGTGATACATATGAGAAATGCATCATTAATTTTGTTGTTGTGCAAACATTGTAGAGCACACTTACACAAATCTAGGTGGTATAGCCCACTACACACCTGGACTATATGATATAGCCTGTTGCTTCTGGGTTTCAAGCCTGTACAGCATGTTACTGTACTGAAAGTGTAAGTCATTGTAATGTGTTGCACCATCATAGTACAATGGCTATGACATTACGAGGTGATAGAAGTTTTTCAGCCCTATTATAATCTAATTGGGACCACTCTTCTATATGCAGTCTGCCATTGACCACAATGCATTTGAGACCGATAAAGAACCTGAAGCACCATTATGTGTTACACGACTGTATAAGAAAATACAGTGGATTGTTGTATATTGGTCTTGAATCTTGCAATTTTGCTAGACTCACTTACTAGTTTAATAACTTTTTTGTTGATTCTACATAGAAAACTGTGCCACCTGTGAATAAGGACAGTTTTATTTCTTCCTTTCCAACATTATGGTTTTATTTATTTTTCTTTTATTTTCCTTTTGCTTTTCTTACTGCAACGTCCTGAACTTCCAGAGCAGTGTTGAGGAGCAGTGAAAGTGAACATTTTTGCCATGAGATTTCTTCAGTAAGACAATGACTTCGAAAGGCTGTTTTAGGAACATAGTAGTATGCCACTTTAATGAGGGAGGGGCTGGAGGCATTGAGATATCTGAAAGGACAGAGGAGCCCTCTTTGCCCACCTCCTCCCACCCCTCCAGTCATCACTCAATCAGTCCACCCATATTTGGCTCCCAGCCCACCTGTGACTCCTTTGCTCAGCCCTTACTCATTAGACCCACGTGGTCTACCTGACTTCTCTCTCAAGCTTCAGTCCATCATTTCAGCCTCTCTTGGGAAGTATTTTCCATTCCCACTTCCTGTGGTTCTTCCAACCCCAGGTCAGGTCATAGGCCTGCCCTCCCTCCACTGGGATGGGGCCCTTGCAATCCAGGATCTTCGGCACAAGAAACCTAAATGTGGTCTGCACTCTATGATTCACTGGGCAAGACTCTTTCCCATTATCTGCAGACCCCATTCCAGGGACCTCCAACCTATCTCCAACCCCTGACCATAACTTACTTGGTGGGTGATAGTAAGGGCTCTGGAGCCAGACCACGTGAACTCAAACCACAGCTCCACAACATAGCAGCAGGGAGGTCTTGAGTATGTTACTTAGCCACCTGGTGCCTACATTTTCCCATCTGTAAAGGAGGTACAGCATGAATTAATGTGCATAAGACACATAGAACTGTGGCTGGTACAAGTGCTGTATATGCTGTTATTCTTGTCTTCTCTCTTTCCCATCATCATTTATACATGTCCATGTCTCATCTTAAAAGCAAAGCAAAACCCTCACTTAATGTCACAGGTATCCAGTCTACCTGCTGTACTCTCCCCTTCAGCTCTGCCACATTTCCTATAGGAGTTGGCTGTGCCATTCTTTGCCTTCCTCAGCCCACTTCAGCCCAACCTCTTTCTTCAGCATCACACTGATGCCGCTCTCTCCAAGTGGCCAAAGCTGGCAGGCATCCCTCAGACTCCTCTTTCCCCACTGCACACAGCAGCATCTGAAGCTGAACACATCTGCAGCAGCCCTTCCCCAGACTCTCTGGGCCCAGCTGCTGCTCTGCCTGCACCTTGCAGCCTTGGCCTGTGCATGCTCTTCCACCAGCACAGTGCTGGGAACATCGTCGAGGCCCCCAAGTATTTATGAGTAAATGAGTGAACCTACAAACAAAGAAGCCAATAATGCTTTGGGAGAGAAGCGAAGAGAGGGAGAGAGAAAGAAGCCTGATGTCCTGATCTGCCGGGGAAGGGTAGAGAGCCCAGGCAGCAGGGAGTTGGGCAGGAGAGAGGGTGAGAAAATACCTACTTTGGTTTTGACCTGTGAACTGTAAGGGCTTTTGCAACATGGGACTGGGGCAGGAGATTCAGGTGTGGAGCCAGTGAGAAAGGACAGCTTGGAAACTTCAGACCTGTTAGATTCCACTCATGTCTCAGGGGGCCCCACATGGGGAGAGAGAGGAGGGCGCTCCGCTTTATTAGTCAGTTTTATGAATTTATCAAATAATTATCAATCCTTTAAACATTGATCCATCGACATTTTCATGTACTTCATATACATCTAATAAATCAACATTTCTCTAAAATTCTGAGTATAAATTTGATCAAGCTCTTCAAGCAACTTAATTAAAATTGTGAATAGAATGTAAGTTTCCCTTAAATGCTTTAAACAGCTTTAAGTAGGCAGAACTCAAAATGTCTCAATGGTCAGTGCTGCATTTTGGAGCTGTCTCGACTTTTCCTCCAGGCGCAGCTGCCTTGTGTGCAGTCCTGGCTCCTTCTGGTGGAGCTGCTGAGGATAGAAGTCTTAGTGATAGGGCAGGGGTACAGGGAAGCTGGTGCTGGGTAGAGGTGCCACTGGGTCATTTTTAATTATGACAAACATTTCCTATCAAGGGCTCTTGAAGTCTGAGACTTGGCCTGCACTAGGGAGGAGTAAGGGGCTCAGGAAGGCTGGAGGCCCATGGATGGAAGGAGGGACAGGGAGGAGGAGGAGAATCTGGTCAAGAGTGCCCAGGGGATGCCCTAACCAGTGTGGCTCAGTGGGTTGGGCATTGTCCCACAAACCAAAAAATCTCTGGTTCAATTCCCAGTCAGGGCACATGCCTGGGTTGTGGGCCAGGTCCCTGGCTGGGTGTGTACGAGGGGCAACCGATCAATGTTTCTCTCACACATCCACGCTGATGTTTCTGTCCTTCTCTTTTCCCCTCCCTTCCCTTCTCTCTAAATCTAAATAAATAAAATCTTTTAAAAAGAGTGCCCAGAGGAGGACTTGACCTTTGGACTTGACCTTTACTGCATTGGGTGCCCAGGACCTTCGGTCCAGATTTTCCAGGGCCATGTGACTTTGGTTAAGGAAATAGTGTAGGGCTTCGTACAACCACCCTTCCAGATAGTGATATCCGTGAAGGCACAAGTTTAGGGAAAAGTAGGGGAGTAGGATGTGTGTGTGTGTGGAACTGTCTTTGGAGCAGTTTGTCAGCAAAAGGAAGATCTGGACCTCTATCTGGGATGACATATTAGGAGGATATGTGTGGCCAAAGGAGACAGAGATGGGGAAGATGCTGAAGAAGAGGGTATAAGGTGATGGGAAGGATTCTCAAGAAGGCAGGAGAGGTGGGTGTAGTGCCAGGGTCTCCTGGAGAGAACAACTTAGAAATGGGTTGGGTAAGACCTCAGTTCTCTCTTGGGCCTCTCTGCCCTCTGAGTGTGCTGCAGCTCTGGGCCAGGCTGGGCTGTCTGCTCAGGGAGGGAGGGCCAATGGGGACGGTCTGTCCAGTCCTGCTGGCTCTGAGCTCCTCTTCCCACCTTTACCCCCCTCCAGTGCCAATACCTGCAGGAATACAACCCCTTTGACCATGGCTGTGTCAGCAACTGGTATTTAACAATTTGTGCACCACTGGGACCCAAGTGAGTTGGCAAACCAGAGGTCTGAGCGGTGGTCCCCGGGGGCGGTGGGGTGGGGTGTAACTGGGTCACCTCTCCTGGACTCTTAGCACAACTCCCAGGCCCTCACACTCGCAGTTCCCATTTCTCTGAGGTTTCCTCCAGGGCAGTGTGGGAGCCTCAGGAGTCTCCCTATTTCCTTGACTCTGTGCATTCTTGCCCCAAGAAATCAAGTGGAGGGACACTGCAGCCTGGGTGAGACTGGCCCCAGCTCCCCTCAGGGCCAGGTCCCGGCCTATGCACTCCCCAAGCTGAGGAGACATGGGGACCAGGCCAGGGGAGACACTGCCCCTTGCGTCTGGTTTATTGCTCCCCAGGTACATGGCCAATGCCATCTGGCTGCAGAGAGTGGTGGAGCCGGACTGGGTGCCCGTGCAGAACCTACATTTCCCAACGTGCCCCTCTGCGCTCAGTCACCCAGTTTTCCCTGGGCCTGGGTCTGGTCGCCAGCCCCAACCTCTGGCTCTCCGCAAATCAGTAAAGGCTCCCCCAGGGAGTGGTGAGGCTGAAGCTGTCCTGGAGGTGAGTAGTGTTTGTGTGTGTGTGTTGGGAGAGGGGCCTCTGTGGATTGTGTAGGTGTTGGGGGGAGCTGCCCCGCCCCCACCTATGTTGAGCTGGTTATGAAGCTAGAGCACTCAGAGCTCAAGGAAGGGGGATTATAGACCCGAGGAGTGTTAGAAGTGGAGTCACAGCCCTCCAGAATACACCAGTGGTTCTGGAAACACAAAAACCACACCACTCTTGCTGGTTAGCCTTGGGCCGGTCACTTACCCTTTCTGGACTTCAGTTTCCTCAGCTATAATGAGGACTGAAACTAGGCCAGTGGTTTATAATTTGGGGAGGGGGGTCAGAATCCTTTATTTAAAGTCAATTTTTACTCTAAAATCCAACATATGTGAAACATATGGAGGTGAAGCATTAGGATTGCTTGGATAGTTTCTTGCTCTCCAACAGACAGGCCTGAGTTGCGGGGCAAGGGCTTGGAAAGAGCCCCCACACCCCCACTTCATGTTTAGCTCCACACAGGCCTAGTGCTGCCTCTGCCTCGGGAGGCCCCCAGATGAGGCTCGCCCCTTCACGCCCAGGAGGCCAGGAACCCCTGCACCGAAACTTTCCCTCCTGGGCCCCATCCTTGGCCACTCTGCTGGCAGGGAGTGCCAATCTTCCCTCCCACCCCCACCCCCCGCCAAAGCCCATTAAACTCCTTTTCCCTGCCTCCTGCAATTGCCCTAATGTGTGTGTCTGTCCTGGGGGTGAGGGTGTCAGAGGGTGAGGGGTGCTCTGAGGGCCGGGGACAAAGACCTTGGGAGGGAGGACGGCCCAACACTAGCCAGCTCTGCGACCTTGGGCAAGACACTCAGCATTTCTCTTATCCTTAAAATGGGGTGACCATAAAAACCATAATGGCGGTCCTGGCCACCTCCCCGAGAGTGCTGGAGACGAGGGAAGAGAAAACCCAGTACTGTACCATGAGGGCTGTTGGGCTCAGGAAAGATCCCGCCCCCGCCTACCGCACCCCTGTCTGGCTGCAGGGGGCGCCCGCTGCCCGGGAATTCCTCAAGTCTGGGCCGGTCCTGCCAGGGCCACTGGGGCCTCCGGGTGGGCTGGTGCTGGCTGGCCTTCTCAGTCTGGGAGTGGTCCCTCCCTCTGCCTCATTCCTGAGAGGGAGGTGGAGGGTGGGGGTCTTCATCATAGTCCAGCCCTGATTCCTTCCTACCAGAAGGAAGTAGGAAAGTTTCTTGTCCTCATCCCTCCCTCCTGTTGGGAAGTAGGTCCTGTCCCTGGGGTGGGCTCCTGGCCCTGTGAGTCTGCAGGATGTGTGTGTTTGTGTGGGGTGGGGTGGGGGGGCTGGGGGCGGGACTGTGCACGTGAAACTGTGGCTCTTGTAGGGGCCAGTGTGTGACAGTGGGAATGGAACTAATGACACCTTCCTAAAAGATTGTCAGAGGATGAAGTGAGTGAGGTGGTTCATGCAAAACACCTGGTACACAGTAGGCACACAATAAATGGGGCAGTGTGATTATAATTACTGTCTCCACCTCACAGCTAACAGACCACCCAGTGTTTCTTCAAAGACCACCTTCTCAGAATTACTTGGGCCCCCAAACCACCCAGCCAGAATCACACACAGGGTGGGGGGAGGGTCAGAATTTGAATCAGAATTGTTATTGGGTGCCTCATGTGATTCCTGCCACCCTGGAGTTTCAGAACTGTGGCCTTAGCAGGTGGGGATGGGTCCCAAGCACACTGCTTCCCTGGTGTCCAGGTGAAACTGGGGTATGGTGAAGTTTAGACGGTCAGATGAACACCCCAGCGGCCCGTGGAGGTGTGTGCGCCTGTGTGGGCATGCATGTGCTTGTGCGTTGGGGGCAGGAGCTCATTCTCTAGGGGAGCCAGCCCAGCCCTGGGAGGTAGGTGACCCACAGCACAGGACACGGCTCCAGTTCTCACGTGCTGAGTTCCCTGCGAGGCTGCCTTCCCCTCTTCCTGGCACCTCCACCCGCTGAGGCAGCCTCGGGGCCCTTCCGTGTGCAGCGCAGCCTCACCCACCGAGCCGGTTCTGGTTCTCTGGGCTCCTGGCCAGCCTCGCTCAGCCCCAGGGACTCCAGCTCTTTCTCATCCCCTTCGCCCTGGTCCCAGTGTCTCCCAAAGTCCCAAGCCCCTTTGTTGTTCATGCCTTTTCTCAGCGCTCAGCCCTGCTTAACTCAGCATTGCCTGTGGGTTCTCAAGAGGGGTGCAGAGCACTAGAGCCCAGTTTGAGGCTTGCTGTAAATGGCTTCAGTGGCCCCCTTTAAAATTCTTTAAAATTTGCAAGTAAAGCTGGAGCAGCCTCATGTAGCCCAGAAAGCCCGCTGTGTATGGTCACATGGTGAAGGAAGGAAAGTATGAGGCCTTTCCAGCCCTTGAGCCGAGGTGTGTATGTGGAACATGAATCTGTGTGAGCCTCTTGTCTGTGTGCAGGGTGCACAGCTCAGCCCAGGCTGGTGAAATGGGGCACCCACAGGGCTCTCGGGCCCACTCCCAAATGGGTGTCCTTGGGGTGGTCAGGGCCTAGGCCAGAGTGGAAGAGATCCAAGAACCTGGGCTAAGGCATGGATGGAGATATATTCATGGGACCGGCTTGTTCAGGAGTGGCATCTGCCTGGAGCCCCAGCCCTGCAAGGGGCTGGGGAGGCCTAGTTCTGCCCTGCCCTGCCCAGCTGCCCGTCCCTCTTGGCCCTGACTGGGTCACAGCCAGGTGGCTGGTAATCAGGGCTGTACATACCGGTGTTAAAAAGCAACTGAGTAAATTTGAAGATCTAACTGACTAATAAATGATTCATAAATTGGGCAGCATCCCATCTAGCAACCAGAAGGGCACAAAATAGAAGGTTTTAATAGGAAGAAGGGTGGAACAAGGAAGCTATAAAAAAAAAGAAAGGATTATTTGGGGGCCCATATGTCTTTTAGGGGGAAGGGGCTTGTCATTCAGATTATCTTTTTTTTTCTTTTTTTGACATTTTAAAAAAAGATTTTATTTATTATTTTTAGAGAGGGGAGGGGAAGGAGAAAGGAGCTTAATGTGTGGTTGTTTCTCGAGTGCCCCCTACTGGGGACCTGGCTTGCAACCCAGGCATGTGCCCTGACTGGAAATTGAACCGGTAGCTCTTTGGTTCACAGGCTGGCACTCAATCCACTGAGCAACACTATCCCTAGGACTGCCTTTTCTTTCTGTGGGGGATGGAGAGGGTCTACATGACAGATTACATTATTGGTGCTTGACCAGAGAATTACAGACTGGTTAAGATTACATTTTTAGGACAGGATGAAACTGCAGTTAGACCAGGTATTAAATCTAGGTTTGGTGTCATGAGCTTTTATCATGAGTTACTCCATTTTGAGCCTGTGGTTTTCTCTTTTCTCTTGTCTCCAGCTATATAGGGATGCACCCCAGTCCAAGGCAAGGCCTTCCAAGCCCTAACCCACAGGTGGCAGGCACAAGACCAGCGGGCCAAATCCAGCCCTCCACCTTGTTTTATCCGGCCCAGCACCTTGTTTCTACCCAGTGGCAGCACTGAGCTGCTTGCCCCTAGTTAAGGAGTAAGTTACATTTCTATAGTCATAAAATTACACTCAGGCCTTTGAAGATGACCGCAAGGCTGATGTGGCCCCTGGTGAAAATGAGTTTGACACCCTTGCCCTAAGCTAATTGTGAGCATCTCCTCTGACAGCCTGGGCCTCCGTGTCCACACTGGGCACAGACATAACTTTCCTCAGATTCTCAAAGGAGGCCATGGGAACACACCCCTCCTGCTCTGGGATATATAGGTCTCTGTAGTGCCTACCAGCCTGAGATTTTTAGGATTTCTGCTCTTCTAGGGGTAAGTGGGGCCTAGCCCACCTCTTCTTTTGACTCGCTCCCCTACCCCCTGCCTCTAAGCCTTGACCCCTGCCTCAGACATTCTTTCCTGCCAGGCTGGAGGTCTGTTGAGCTGTACCCACCTGCCTTTTCTGCCCCTTCCCCATTTCTACTGGACTTGCCCTTGATTCTCAGACACATCTCTCGAAGTCCTTGGCTCACTGATAAAAAAGGAGGGGTGTTGTCAGGGACCAGTGATGGGACCTACTCTCCACACGTTGTGATGCCATGCTATCCCTGTCTTCCCTTGGGCCGCAGCCAAGGGGTGACCCCTGCCCTGCAGGGCCACCAGGTGTCCACGTGTCCAGAGCCCCTCTGGGAGGTGCCCAGCCCACTCCTGGAACCTGGTGGAGGTGGTTGGACCCTGGGATGGGGAGCCTGGAAGCATCCACTCCTCATTGCCTCTAGTCCTTTCCTTTGGGGGCCTTTTAGAAGGTCGGGGTGTGTGGAGTGGGGAGAACCCTGAGCTGAGAGTCAGGTATCACTCAGCTCTTCTACCAACTAGTGCTGTGGGAGCAGGTCTCTTTCCTCTGCTTGGCCTCAGGGTCATTATCTGTAAACAGGATGATCACAGCTAACCTTACAGGTGGTCACATGATCCTCACTCTTTAGAGCGAGTAGGGACTCAAGCTGGACAGATGGGAACTAGAGGGGGAAGGGATTGCTCAGGATGACGCAGTCTCCCAGGCAGGTGGTGCTCTCCCTGTTTCCCAGGCAGCCTCTCCCATTCCTGCTCAGGGGACCATTCCAGAGGGGAAGGACTTGGACAGTGACCACAGGGCCCTGCTTTCCAGCCCCCATGCCTCAGAGCCAGGTCCTGCATTTCAGCACAAGGCTTGGGAAGCTGATAAGAACGCTGGGCTTAACTCTGTCTCCAGCCCTGTGCCGGGAGCGATAATGATGCCCTGCCCTGAGCTGCCTCCTGCTCTGCCCTGCCCTGTCCTGCTCTGCCCTGCCCACCTCACCCAAGGGGCCCTGTAGGTGGCTGAGGGTGGGGCAGGGTGGAGGAGGTTGCAGCAGTGTCCTGAGACCAGGGTCCCGAATCCTAACACCTCACAGGAAACAAGCCCCTTGTTGACTGACCCTCCTGGGCCCCTGGGCACAGTGCCTGCCACCAGGTGATGCCCCATTAGCCCCCTGTCCTCCTCTTTGGTTCCCATATGCGGAGTGTGGCTGGAGGGGTGTGGCCCTGGGCTGGAGGTTTGCCAGGGCCCCGTACTGGGAAACAAAACTTTTATTGAGCACTGCCCGGGCCAGGGCCAGTGCTAAGTGGTTCATAAGACCTCCTCTAATCCTCATAACAACCTTCTGAAGCTGTTATTATTGTTTTAGAGACGAGAAAACTAGCCCTGAGAAAACAAGCCACTTCACCAAGGTCACACTGCTTCTATGTGGCAGAGCCAAAACTATGTCGGCCTTTGCCATTGCACTGTGCTTCATTGCAGTTCTGTTTTATTTCAGTTTAGGGCACTGGTTAAGACTTGGGCTGTAAAGCCAGACTGCCTGGTTTCCCTGCCGTAGATGAATAATCATGCCTCCTAGCGCCATTATGAGGATTCATTGTTTGGAGCATGTGAAGAGCTTGGCACCCACGCTGACCCATGGCAGGTGCTTGGTCAACGGTACAGTGAGGCCCAGGGGGGCGTAGGGTGCCAGGTACATGAC